ATTTTATTTGGGGACTCATAATTTCGTAGATTCGTGATATGGAATACAATCTGGCTGTCACAGAACATGAAAAAACATTTTCATGGGCCTTTTTATCAAGGTCGAAACTGGAGTGTTTTCATCATCTTTCACACACGTGGCATTTGCTGTTTTGTCTGTTTTTTTTTCTTTCATCTTATTTTTTTGGTCTCACACCATTTCACCTTGCAGAGCTGTTGCTGATGTCCAGATCGCAGACAAATCGCCTGACGAGTTGCTCACTGCAGCGCCAGACAACTGGCCTCTAATTATTAAACAGAAAGCCAGGGAGGAACACTGGCTGACGGCGAAAGGCAGACTGATAAATACACAGAGACAGGAGCAGACTTGTGGACGGATAATAAGGTAGACTGACAGAGATAGTTACCGGAGCACAAAATGAATGGGCAAAAAGACAGGTGGACAAATAGCAAGGCAGTCACAATGACAGCTTGGAAAGCCCTTCAACTAGTTTCGGCTAAAACCAGCGAAAATGAATGAATGAGATTTGGTTCAATTTGTATGTTCTGTCAATTCCGGGGTGAAAGAAATATGAATAAAACAACACTCCTCTGACTCCATTTATCCTGGGTTTCATTAATTTGATTGGCAGACAACACGGGGCAGACGAGAGTAATGGCTTGTGGTTGCTGTGGCAACAGCCCGCTCTTTGTTACATGCTGCATTCCTGGCATCTGATGAGTCTTACGCCGCGATCGATAAATCCCCCCCAACCCTGCTGAGACTGTTGAGTGAACTGATGCTTTTGCCATGCCAGCGGTGTGGAAAGTAAAGGGGAAAAAATGGGTACACAAAAGGATTGGAAAAGAAGGCATTACACGAAGCTGCAAGCAGGTTCGCTGCTGAGCCGGTGGGGTCTTGATGGATGCAGTCTCATCAAAGATTTATTTTCAGTGTCACTCACACCGCTATCAAAGTATGGTTTGTGTCTGTCTGGGTGATCTTCATCTGCTTACCTTGCCGAGATTCCATGTTGCGGTGATTGACAGAACTCTTTGAAGGCACATTTCACATCTCCGGGATCCCCCCCCCCCTCGGTGCATTAAAATTTCCAGCACTCACGGACGAAGCTTACTTTTTGCACATCTAATTGGCAAATATAGCCATGAGCAGAATGCAGATACTTCTGGTAATGAAGCAATTATTGTCAGGTTATCTGTCCTCATAGGCATATGTCAATTCAACAACCTGTGGCTGCAGGGAGGTATTTTCCTGTCAAGGTCAATGTCCTTCCAAGTTGGATTGAGGAATGTCTCCCATGTTTTTTTTTAAGTCTGTATCCTTGCCCTCAATACCCTTTCATGATATCCTCGCACTGTGATATTTTTCAAGTTCTAAAAAAGAAAACTCAACTCAAAACAAAAATTAATTCAAACACGTGAAGTTGTCATCATTTTATCGTGAAAATTATTTAAGTCAGCTTCATTGGGGGAAAAAAAAATCATATCCACAAGACAAAGTGTTTATTACGCACATATATTTTGAATAGTTTGAATATTTTGGATGTTGAGAGGCATCTTTGGGTCCCTTGCAAGGTGATAAATAAATACATGAATAATTTATAATTTTTTTTTTATTTGGGGCTGGGGCAGGGTTGTCAAAATGGGTTTTCCTGTTGGCTTTTAAATCAAGTGGTTTGCCATAAAATGTAAAGACTTTATTCACAGTACAAGCAATTTTATCAAGGAACAAAAGAAAGAAAGAAAGAAACAAACAAACAAACAAACAGCAACTCAATCTTTGATGAAAAGGCAGTAGGCTAATGAAAGAAATTTGGGGAAGGCAGGTGCACTTTTGTGAACTTTCTTACAAGTGTATGAAGCAGTTCATTGCACAATAAAATCTCCCAGCAAATTATGAAACCGTCCTGAACAATGATAACGTATGCTAACGAACCACGCTCTGTCACCACCATGGAAACAAACTACGATCTGGTACCAAAAACACATGCGCATCAATTACCGGTCTACAATGTATCCCATCTTAGCGACTCTGCTGGTCGCGATATTGCCATCGGCCGTGCCTGTGTATTGAAAATAATAATAATAATAATACATTTGATTTACATAGTTTGGGGGGCCAGGGCGGGGTGTGGGGGGTGGGGGGGGACTAAAAGACACCTTACAAAATAAAGGACTAAAAAACAAACAGAGATAACATAACAACACCTAAAGACAACATTACAGAATTAAAGAAAAGTCCACTTGAGCAGATGTTTTTTTTAGGACAGATTAGAAATTATTCAGTGAAATAGACGATAACTTGGTGAGTGGTGAGTTTCACTTCACTTTCATTGTTGTAAACACCAAAAAATGTTCGATCCATAGAGAACAAGCGCTCTACATTTTTTTTTTTTTTATTGTGTCGTCCATAAACATGGAAAGCACAGCGACACTGAGAGGTATGAGCTTTCGGGTCCCCTCACAGATGTCATATCAACCTATTTTGCATGTCTATGGTTCCCAGAATGCATTTCAGAAATGAAGTTATAAAGACGTTAATCCTTTTCATTTGTGTGTTTGTATCACCGGTTGTTGCACGTGTTACATTTAGCTGCTAACATTTATGTTGCGCTGTTTGTTTTTTGTGCTTTGTTTATTTTCCTTGAAACAAACGTGACTTTAGGTTGTGTATAAAATAATCACATCTAGCTAAATTCACTTGCCAAAAGTGATGGGAGTAATGAGTCTTTGTCGGGAGCCGTTCATTCATGAGCTGTCCACCACAATCAGCAATTCAGAAGATAAAGCCGTATTATCTTTATAAACCTTATTTAAAAATTCATTCTTGCACTCATGAAATAATCCCTGGAATTAGTCATACATTACAGTTTGTGTCATACTTGACGCGTTTATGTGATGGGACATTAAATATTGTCTTCTTTTAAAATATTGTAAGGTTTAATGACCAAAGGTTGATTTCATTTTATATGTGGTACATTCGGTATGTTGGGAATTGTGGGGAACATTGCTTCATTTTGACATGTGGAAATATATTATTATGCAATAACTTTTTATTCTCAGAACAAAAAAAAATTATATAAAAAAAGCAGAACACTTTACACACATTGATCAGCTCCACGTGCATACACTGCACCGCAGATGTTTTGACAAAAGCATTCAAACTAAATAAAACGGGTAAAACAACTTAATGGTTGCTGTAAACATAATAATACGTATATTAAAACAACGAACCACTACTGAACGAAGCAATTCTGAAATGTCAGTTTAAATTTTCTTCTGACACTCAGGCTTCTAATCAGGCAAATTAGCATTGAGAAAGTCAAGTGTTCTTACATTTTCAGGCTTGAGGAGGTTTCTCTGTCCTGTTTTAGGGGAAAACTCTCTTATAGCACTGAATTTGTCACAATTCTTCCCCATGACTTGCATTAAAATTTTGCTATTTGTTACAGCGTGTTTCCTTTCACAGAGCAGTTTATTTGAACTTTTCTTTCAGAACCTTTGTCTAAATGATCATAAGCCCCAATTGCAGGGGTTGGGAACTCCAGTTCCCTGAGAGCCATGTAAGAATAAGAATACGAAAACCTTTATTCGTCTCGCAATGGAGAAATTCCCAATTACAGCAGCAAAGCTATGAAAGGAAGAAAGTACAAGAACAAAAAGTATCGGAGCTGCTGCAAATGCAGCCACTACCTGCCTACCCATTTTAGATCTCTCGCGAATCCAACACACCCGGTTCAAATGATGGTGATTGTTTCAGGCTTGTACAGGGCTAGCTGATGAGCTGATCGTTTGAATCAGGTGTGTTGAAATAGAGAGAGATCGAAAACAGGCAGGATATGAATGACTGCCGTAGGGAATGGTGCTAAGCTAGCCAACAGATCAGAGGGTCTCATAATGCAAGTCTGAGGTGGGCAATTCATATTCAACGGGCCATACAACTCAATTGTGAATCGAATGTATTTTTATGAAACAGTCAATTGTATTTCCTTAATAAGCTGCCATTTTGTAGCCCTGGTTATATATGTTGTTGAAATTAGGAAATAAAAATTGAAAACTAGATGGGGAGGAAAAATGTCATTGAAGTGACATATCTCCACATATTTATGCTAAAACTTGTGTATATGTGCTGTAAGTCGTTGGGTCAGGACAAAAATGAGCACCAAACAAAAAAAAATGAGCACCAAACAACAGCCTCTGGTGCTCATTTGAGAACTGTGCCAACATTATGATGTGCACCCCTGTTTATACATTCCAAAATGCAAATTTAAAAAAAATGCTCTCTTGCTGCTGAAAGGGCCCCAATGTCTCTTCTCTGCTGAGACTTTACATAATTAAACAGTAAACATCAAAAACATATTTTTTTTGAAAAAGAAGGGTCAACGTCAGAATCAGTAGAAGCGCAATTAAGCACGGAAAATAACACAAGGAAACACAAATTGTAAAACAATGCATCAAAAGGAGTAAAGTTATGAGAGTATATATGCAAATATTTGCATCTACGTGTGCCCATAAATTTGAGACTTTATGTTGCATATCGAGCAAGTAATATATGGATTTTCAACAGGGCATGGGAAAATATGTCTTTCCACAAATACACACATATTTGTCGTAGTGTCCCTAGCAATGAGGCCACATGGGTTTGAAGATTAGCATCGTAGAGCAAAGTATTATGGAAGCAAACATTTCCTGCCACTTCATTGTTGATTATCTGAGCCCCGACCAAATAGGAATGACCATGAACCTGCAAAAGCGAGACGTAGATGCACATGCCGGCACAAACTATTACCTCCCTGGCTTTTAGCCTCATCTTGCTGTAATGAGGGTCATTTCTCGCCACTGGGCTGAAATATTTTCCATCCTCAAAAGACACCTCCAGTTAGCCTGCAACCTTTTGTGCTACCTTGTGATGAAAGTCCACATTTTTCTGCAGATGATATTTCTCTTGTGCCTTGCCCTGCTTTAAATTTAATTCCATTCTTTCCAGCGAGCCAAGAAAGGTGACAGTTCATTAAAGAGACGGAGTTAAACGTTTTTTTAAAGTGTAAAAAGGCAGAAGGCAAACAAATGAAGACTTGACGTAGCGAATGGAGTATTCTGACCTGTTTCTTTTTCATTCACTGTTTTACAGGGACCGACCGCGATGCTGTTCTGGACGTATAATGAGGCATGCGATGACAGTGGGCAACGTGAGTAAAAGAGTCATGAAAGGCCCAGCGCCGTACTACCGCATCCTCCTGGGTGGGGCCGTGGTGCTTCTCCTGGCCAGATTGGCCCAGAGTTGCCCTGCCCGATGTGAGTGTTCTGCGCAGACCAAGTCAGTGAGCTGCCACCGCAAGCGTCTCAGCACCATACCTGAAGGCATCCCCATCGAAACTCGAGTCCTAGATCTCAGCAAAAACAAGTTACGCATAATCACACCGGACAACTTCTCTTCATTCCATCTTCTGGAAGGCTTGGACCTGAGTGACAACCTCATCAGTGTGGTGGAAACTGGATCATTTCGTTCCCAGCTTGCTCTCCGCTCACTGAACTTCCGCAGTAACGTGATCCAGCTGGTTCCTGCAGGTGTACTGTCTGGCCTGACCAACCTCACTCACCTTGACCTCAACCACAACCGACTTGTGGTTCTGCTGGACCACGCCTTTCAAGATCTGCACAAATTGGCATCCCTCGAGGTGGGTGACAATGAACTTGTTTTCATCTCTCCGAGGGCCTTCCTGGGATTAACTGGACTCCGAAGTCTGACCCTGGAACGTTCCAATCTCACTGCAGTCCCTACTGACGCTTTGGCACATCTACACAACCTGGTCGAACTACATCTTCGCCATTTGAGCATTAGTTTTCTGAAGCCTTTCTCTTTTAAGAGGCTGTTCCATCTCCGCCAACTGGAGATCGATTATTGGCCCTGGTTGGACACACTCCCCCCACTGTCTCTGCATGGCCTCAACCTCACAACCTTGTTTATAACCAACACGAACGTATCTGCCTTCCCTGGTGCAGCATTGCGCCACCTGCACTACCTCACTCACCTCAACTTGTCTTTCTCCCGAATTCAGCATATCCATCAAGGAGAGCTTGGGCACTTCCCGCATTTGATGGAGCTCCGTCTTCAAGGGTCTCAGCTTGTTTCTATTGAACTCTTTGCATTTATTGGCCTCATATCTTTGCAACTATTGGATGTGTCACAAAATCGCCTAGACTCTCTGGAGAGGGGAGTTTTTGCATCCCCAGACAGCCTCCAGAGGCTTTGTCTGGGTGGAAACCCATTGGTGTGTGACTGCAGATTGCTTTGGTTGCTGAATAGCTACAAGCCCCCCTCCCTTCATATTCTTGATCTCCAGCCCGAGTGCAGCGCCCCCGAGTACCTCCTGGGAAAAACTCTTCGTGAGCTCAAGGAACCACTGGTCTCTCGGTACATGACCTGCACCAAGCCTCGAATTGGACCCAACATAACACAGCTGCTGATGGCTGACGAGGGTCAACCTGCCCGTTTGAGCTGCATGGCAGAGGGAGCGCCAAGGCCTTCAGTGGTCTGGATTACACCTCACAGACGCTACATCACAGCCAAGAGCAGCGGCAGAGTGGAAGTCCAACCAGATGGCACCCTGGAGATCAAAGCTGCAGAGCTGCATGACAGCGGAGTGTACTTGTGTATTGCAAGTAATGCTGCTGGCAACGCCAGCTTGTCGGCCTCTTTAGCCGTGAAGAGCCTGGGCATTAGGGACAACTTTCACAATAGCAACAGGAGCTCAAACTATTTGACAAGCTCCAACAGCACTTGGGGAAATGGGACTGTGTTGTACAACATGACAGTCCCCATAGACATTAAGACTATCATTATATCCACAGCCATGGGCTGCCTGTCCTTTCTAGGTGTGGTCGTCTTCTGCTTCCTGCTGCTCTTTGCCTGGAGCCGAGGAAAAGGACGTCATAAGAGCAACTTTGATATTGAATATGTCCCACGCAAAACCAATGGGGCCTCAGCCGAAGTGACAGAAACAAGTGGCCCCCGACGAGTCAATATGAAAATGATCTGAACCTGAAGCGGACTGATGCGCACAACGACGACAACAACAATGCAGTGCACACACATCGGCTTGAAAAAAAAAGTTGCTTTCAATGATCCCCCCGTGGAATTGTGACAAATGATGTACTAATATAGTGGCTGTCGATGAAGGTGATCTCGTGATCATGTGAATATCGAAGTGAAACCGTGAACGTGTTTATATCAAATAATGTCCTTACATTACATTGAATAGAATACTATAACCAACATATCAATATGGGAGTGATCTAGTGTTGCACTTGGCATGTGTATCAGTGGTGATGTGATGAGTAATGATGTTGTCCACTATCCGTGACATCAAACCGAAGGACGGAGTCACTGAGGGTTATGGGGGGAGGGGGGAGGGGGGGAATACTCTAAACGCAGCGATAGCGATCACCGCTGCAATATGTCAGGACTAAATTGTCTAACACCCATGTTAGCTGCAGTGTGAATGGTGTGTGTCGTAATCACGTGTGCTGTGTGTGCGCATCGCTGTACGCATGTTGCGTTTGTGTCTTTCGTTGTGCATGTGCACGCATTGCCTTTCTTATCAGACAGAAATATTAAAAAGATGGGGACCGGCGGGCCTTTGTTCTCGTTGGGTCATTGTCACTGTTGGGTAAAACGGGATCATATTGTATATGTTTTTGTAATGGGAAAATCCAATTTATTCTTAAAAAGAAATGCTGCATCCATTTTGAAATAGTTGCCCTCATGCAAGGAGACGAACATATGGGGAATTCAATGAACTCAGGGCGACATTGCGTTGTAATTTAATGTGAGGCGTGAGCTTTGTCTTCGTCAAAGAATTCACTTTCCAGGAAAGACAAGACATTCCCCTCAGAAATAACATCGGTCAAAGGCGTTATCGCACGACAAAAGCTCCCGGCAATAGAAATGGTACATTAAAGCTGTTTCAAAATGTCATAAATCACAGGCAGTTTTTGCTGCCAGAAACGAAAAAAAAAAAAAAAAATCCCTCGATGTGACATAAGAGACTCTGTGGCCACAACGGCAAAGATTTACGGGCTAGTGCCCTCTTTTGGACAAGACAAAGTTAAGCCTCACCGAGTTATGGCTTAAATTTCCCGTCATATTTCTTTGATCGCACCTCTTCACTTCCTTACTGGGGCTCTGCTTATTTCATAGGTGTCAATTTCAAACTTGTAATGGAATCTTGTAACGTTATGTTTCTTTGTGAGGAAATATTTTCCGTGTTTGGTGTGGGCAATATTGGCAAAACAATTAAGGGCAAGTCTTTGTATTGCAGGGACATGGGTGTTGATTTGTGTAATTCTGTTGTGATAAAACATTCAAAAGTTGTATAATTGTTTTCGTATGATACATTTATGGGTATATTTTCAAAAGAAAATAAATATCAAACCTACCCCTGATTGGAATTGTATTTTAAATTCAGCTGGAGTTACTCTAATAGCATCGGAATAGCCGTATGTCTGCGATTAAATATTTACCATTAGCTTGAACTGCACACAGATTCCCTTTGTGATGTTTGTGACCACTGCTTGAAGTCCATGACATCCTTTCTCTGAAAGCATCTTTTTCATATATATATCTTGATGTGATTGGCAAAGACAGAGTTGTCTGTGTTTGAGTTTGAAAGCCTGCACGGAAACAAAAGCTGCTGCTGTTGACTCATGAAGACATTTGAAGTCCCTCATACAGTGGTACATCTACTTACGAACGTCTCTTCATACGAAATTTTCAAGTTGCGAAACGCCTCAAGAGGAAAATATTGCCTCTTGTTACGAAAGAAATTTCAACATAGGAAAGGTAAAAAGACAGTATGGGCTGCTACTCGCAACTCCGATTTTCCTGAACGCAACATACTCATAGCTGCTCTGCCATTGGCTATTTCCGAACATCATCCTGGCATTCCATTGGCTAAGAGGGACTTCTACCGTATGTGTCAATGTGTGTAGAATAGATGGATAGACAGATAGATAGATAGATAGATTTTCGAAGGATTGTTAAAAGGCGACAACAGCAAACGTCCTTGGATCAGTTCTTTACAAAACGCCAGGAAATAAACATTTCTGAGAGAGAACATGAACTAAAGAGGCCAAAAAACAACGAATACGCCGTTTAAAGTTAAATGACCATAATTTTATTCTTTATTCTTTGTTTTTTACATCATGCACAACTCTCTTTTATTGTGCAATGATCTAATTGTAACAAGTATTTGTTACTCAACTCAACTCAACTCAACTGTATTTATAGAGCACTTTCAAACAGCCATCGCTGCATACAAAGTGCTGTACATGGAGCAATTCAACATATACAACAAACAGTAAAGCAAATCGGTTATAAAGACGGTAGAAAGCACCGAACAGCAAAACCAAGAACAAATCTAAGTCATGCTGAGTCAAATGCCAAAGAATACAAGTGAGTTTTGAGGCGGGGTTTGAAGATGGGCAGCGACGCGGCTTGCCGAATGTTCAGTGGGAGGTCGTTCCAGAGAGAGGGACCAGCAACAGAAAAGGCTCGATCCCCTCTGAGCCTCAGTTTAGTTCTTGGTACTTCTAATAATGTCTGGTCCGCAGACCTGAGGCGCCGGGCAGGTGTGTAGGGGTGGATGAGCTCGGAGAGGTAAGGTGGCCCGAGGTCATTTAGAGATTTGAAAACAAATAAGAGGATCTTGATGTTGTTACATATGTTGATGCATTTTTTTATGCTTTAGGAAACGTTTTTGTCAGAATTTAGGTGGGGGGCTTGGAGAGAACTCGGGCATTTACATGGAAAACACGTCTCTCCTTACAAAATCTTCTCGTTCAGAATTTTTTCCAGAACCAATTAATTTCGTTAGTAGAGACACCACTGTATCGGCTTTTATTCATAGTTTCATCAAAGATATCCTATTTAGTCACTGCATATTCCAAGCAACAATTTTCTACTCACTATGATACCACGTCTTATTTTTATTTCTGTTTGATGGACCCTATTCTCGTGAGCAGCATGAGGGATATCCTATAGAAATAATGCAATACTGTACTGCAATTGAACCATCAAAAGAATAAAATGCATTTTTAAGGGTAACAGCGCAGTACTCGAAAGTCAAGCACAATCTTTTCCCAGATGCTGATTGACCTCTGATTTGTATGACTGTACTGTATTTTCTGAAATTCTTAACACGTGCTATGTCTCCATTATTCAGTGGGCGTGTCTTTGTTGCGATGAGTAGTCGCCTCTTTGCCTGCTCTGCAGTGTTGTATGCTTCCAACTTTATGCTATGCACCTTCAGAGTAGATCCACTCTGCCTTGGTTTCATCTTAGCATTTCTCCGTATTACCGGTAACCCCTTTTTAGCTTCCTTTTAACTTCACTCGAGATACAGTGTAAGACAGTAAAATATATTTGGGAGGCCCAGTGGTCGAGTGGTTAGCGCTTCGACCTCATAGTGAAGCGGTGCAGGGTTCGATCCTGGTTCCAGCCTTCCTGTGTGGAGTTCGCATGTTCTCCCCGGGCCTGCGTGGGTTTTCTCTGGGTACTCCGGTTTCCTCGCACATTCCAAAAACATGCGAGACAGGTTAATGGAACACTTTAAATTGTCCCTAGGTGTGACTGTGAGCACGGATGGTTGTTCGTCTCTGCGTGCCCTGCGATTGGCTGGCAACCGGTTCAGTGTGTCCCTTGCCTACTGCCCGAAGACAGCTGGGATTAGATCCAGCATGCCCCGTGACACTTGTGAGGATAAAGCACATCAGAAAATGGATGGATGTATGGATATTTGTAATAAAAGTAAGGTCGGCGGCCCGGTGGTCGACTGGTTGGCGCAGGGGTGTCAAACTCAAATACACAGTGGGCCAAAATTTTAAACTTGGACACACTCGCGGGCCAACATTGATATTGATTTAAATTGTTCCTTCAGATATAACAATGAACCTCTGCATATGGACAAGCTTTGGTTCAACACTGAATATGGAACAAGCAAAGCTTAAGACTATACAATAAATCGCTTAATATTGCACAGGTGCTAAATCGAATTTCAAAAAAAAAAAAAAAACAACAACACATCAATGGCATTTATTTCTGAAATAAAATTTAAATGAAAATTGTATGCATTTTTTATTTGCAGCCTTCTGATTTAAATTTCAACAGTAACCTTTTTCCACAGGCTAATAATAAATTAATAATAATATCCTTCAATAAAAGTGCAACCATTCAAGCCCATGCCTTGGAGTAGCAAGAAAGTGCTCAAAGAAAATATGAATTATTGCTCAGTTTGCGACACACTGATCTACTCTGATGCATTCAAGCCACATACCTGGCATCTCTTCTTGGGTGTGTTAAGGAGGGGATCTGTCCATTTCCTTATGGCCCTCCTTGGACACAGGTTCTTTTATTTCTCTATAAGGTGGAATAAAGACCCAACACCACTCCATCTTTTCTGCAGTTAACCACTCGCTTCGGGCTCCTGAGAGTTTCAGATTTCGTCAGGGAGCATAGAAAAAATCCAGTCACAAGAATATATAGAGACAATATGATAATGAGAGGCAAGCAGTTACACCTCCATGCAAATCCCGGAAACAAAGAAATTAACATGTCACCTGACCCGGTGTGGCTGGAAAAAGTTAAGAGTGGTGAGGTGAGACCAGATCACCACTATCCCCTATTGTCTTCGGTCTGAGTTTTGATGTGATGGCAGCAAAACAGATACGTACTTGAGATAACAGTTCCTCTTTTGATGTTAACCATGTCCTCTAGAGCAGGGGTCCCCAACCGCCGGTCCGCGGACCGGTACCGGTCCGCAGAGCATTTGGTACCGGGCCGCACAGAAAGAACTTGCCTTATTTCCGTTTTATTTATTTCGGAATACGAAATGTGTTTTATTTTGAAAAATTACCGGATTCTCTGTTACATCCGTCTGTGTCACGCTTGACTCACGTCAAGCCACACTTCTCGGTCACGTGACCGAAACCACACACTTGAGGTGTCATTGTCTCCTATTACCCCGAGATGGGACTGTCTGATTGCAGAAAATCAAGCTCGGGGCTGTGGTGAGTCGTCATTTTCATGCACTTTGAATTTGCGTTTTTTGAAGGCATTAAACATTACCAGAGCGATAAGTGTTGCGACCAGATTAGACGCTCCTTGTGTTTATTATTATATTTCGAAAACACCACAGTTTTCATGCAGCTCATACCATATTATTTTGTTGCATTAATTCCGCCACACCTTAAATGCCGGTCCCTGAAAATATTGTCTGACTTAAACCGGTCCGTGGGGCAAAAAAGGTTGGGGACCCCTGCTCTAGAGGGGTCCCTAAAAGTGGTGGAGTTCGAGGGGCACTCAAGGTGATTGTAATCACATTGAGCAGGAAATACCTTCAACAGCATTCTACATTCTTTGTTTCAAGTGTTTGAACAGATCCAACAACAGAGAGGGGCTAAAACAAAATCACAGTAAGGAATAAATTCCTTAACAGATGCCAGCTCACATTAATGTCTGGGGTCAGGCTCTGAGCTGAGGAAATCCTTAGGATCGAGCAAAGGTGTTCATCCGTCAGACGTCTCCTGTGAGCTGTTTTGATCATCTTCATCGAGGAGAATAGTTGCTCACATCGATAAGTGCTGTCGAACATGGAGCAGCTTGGGTGCGGAGCTGAGGCATTGTGTCAGGGATGAAATTGTGCAGCACCCACAGCATCATACTTTGACTTCAGCGTGTCACTACATTGGCGTTCAATCAGCTCCATTTGGAGGTTGCTTGCTGCGTTTTCCACATCAACTGCAAATGGATTGCCCAGCAATTCAAACCTACACTTCTGGACATCAAAGTCGGCAAATCGCCGGGGAAACTCAGCACAGAGTACGCGGAGTTTACCAGCAAACTGTGCACGTGGAAACGCTGCGGTAGAGCTGTGCATTAAAATGGTTTGGCAACAGGGAACATGATCCAGGTTTCCTTGGAGCATTTGATTCTCCCACAGGCACAGTTTAGTTCTAAAGGCCCTCACTGCAGCGTACATGTCTGTGATGATATGTCCCCTCCTCTGAAGCTGCAGGTTTAGTGCATCTAGATCAGGGTGTCATACTTAAGGCCTGGGGGCCAGATCTGGCCCGCCACATCATTTTATGTGGCCCACAAAAGCAAATCAAAGATGTCAACTTTCATGATGCTTGCGAAAATCCCTACCAAAACTTCAAATTCTCTTTTTTAATAAATAAGAGTGAGATTGAAAGCATTTTTTATTTTCAAGCCCCTCATTAGAGTAACTTAAACAATAGGGGAATAAACCGTTATTCTTGACTTCTAGATATGGTTTCAGTCATAACGGCCATCCAAGGGAAACTGTAACTAAAATCTGGTCCGTGACAAAAATGAGTTTGACACCCCTGATCTAGATGGTTTGTGATGTCACACAGAAAAGCCAGTTCACGCAAAAACTATGGCTCACAGAGCTCCGCTGTGTCTTTCCCTTTGCTGTCCAGGAAATGACACAAATGAACATCTGTTCATTACTTTGCTTCGGCTT